TAATTGAATTTAATGGAGGGGGATGGTTTTAGCTATGACGCCGATATTTTTCTGAAATTTTAAGTTTGGAATTTGAAAGCCTATTTGGTTCTTATTATTTTCTGTGAGTTTCATGGTGTGACCCGACCTAGTTTTTCCTCAAAAAAATAATTAAATTTAGTGGAGGGGGATGGTTTTAGCTATGACGCCGATATTTTTCTGAAATTTTGAGCTTGGAATTTGAAAGCCTATTTGATTCTTATTATTTTTTGAAATTTTCATGATGTGACCCGACCTAGTTTTTCCTCAAAAAAATAAATAAATTTAGTGGAGGGGGATGGTTTTAGCAATGACGCCGATATTTTTCCAAAATTTTGAGCTTGGAATTTGAAAGTATATTTGATTCTTATTATTTTTTGTGATTTTCATGGTGTGATCCGACCTAGTTTTTCCTCAAAAAATAATTAAATTTAGTGGAGGGGGATGGTTTTAGCTATGACGCCGATATTTTTCTAAAATTTTGAGCTTGTAATTGGAATGTATATTCTGTTTTTATTACTTTCTGTAAGTTTTATGGCGTGACGCGACCTAGTTTTTCCTCAAAATAATAATTAAATTTAGTGGAGGGGATGGTTTTAGCTATGACGCCGATATTTTTCTGAAATTTTGAGTTTGGAGTTTGAAAGCCCATTTCATTCTTATTATTTCCTGTGATTTTCATGGTGTGACCCGACCTAGTTTTTTCTCAAAAAAATAATTAAATTTAGTGGAGGGGGATGGTTTTAGCTATGACGCCGATATTTTTCTAAAATTTTGAGCTTGGAATTGGAATGCATATTCTGTTTTTATTACGTTCTCTAAGTTTTATGGCGTGAAGCGACCTAGTTTTTCCTAAAAAAAAAAATAATTGAATTTAGTGGAGGGGGATGGTTTTAGTTATGACGCCGATATTTTTCTGAAACTTTGAGCTTGGAATTTGAAAGTCTATTTGATTCTTATTATTTTTTGTGATTTTCATGGTGTGACCCGACCTAGTTTTTCCTCAAAAAAATAATTAAATTTAGTGGAGGGGGATGATTTTAGCTATGACGCCGATATTTTTCTTAAATTTTAAGTTTGGCATTTGAAAGCCTATTTGGTTCTTATTATTTTCTGTGAGTTTCATGGTGTGACCCGACCTAGTTTTTTCTCAAAAAAATAATTAAATTTAGTGGAGGGGGATGGTTTTAGCTATGACGCCGATATTTTTCTGAAATTTTGAGCTTGGAATTTGAAAGTATATTTGATTTTTATTATTTTCTGTGATTTTCATGGTGTGACCCGACCTAGTTTTTTCTCAAAAAAATAATTAAATTTAGTGGAGATGGTTTTAGGTATGACGCCGATATTTTTCTAAAATTTTGAGCTTGGAATTGGAATGTATATTCTGTTCTTATTACTTTCTGTAAGTTTTATGGCGTGACGCGACCTAGTTTTTCCTCGAAAAAATAATTGAATTTAATGGAGGGGGATGCTTTTAGCTATGACGCCGATATTTTTCTGAAATTTTGATCTTGGAATTAGAAAGTATATTTTATTCTTATTACTTTCTGTAAGTTTTATGGCGTGACGCATCTTAGATTTTGTGAAAAAAATCATATTTAAATTTTAAGGGAAGGGAATAACTTTAGCTATGCCGCTGTCATTTTTCTTAAGTTTCATGTCGTGAACTTTTGAATCTTTTCGTAAAAAATCAGAGGTAAATTATTTGCTACGACCTATAAGTTTTATTAAGATAAAATAGAATAATCGTTTATTTTAATATTTGACATACATTTTTGGATTAAAAAACATCTTAATTGGTAAAAGATGTTGCAAAAAATACCATTTGATGTAGGTACTGTAGTTTTGAGCAGAATTTAGTTGTAATCAAAGATATAATATTAGAGAATACAAATAAAAATTTGAAGTTTCTGTTACCACAAATATTTAATAATTGTAGCGCCGTTAAACGCAATATAGATTGATAAAATGGTCAGCGTGCCCAGCGCCTAACGCCAACGTTTTTGTATCATGTGAACTTGTCGTAATGGTGGGGATGAATGTTGCCAGAGAGCGCTGGCTCTTGGGCGCTAAGTTCACGCAAGTGTATTTTAGCAATTTAAAGTGTTCTAGTTATTCAATTTCAAGTTCAAAATGTCACGATGTATCTTGAAAAATTGTATGTACTTATAATACAAGTACTACTGTTATGAATATATTCGTTTTCAGCGGTAAATATTTATTAACGTTTTGACATAAAGCGCCATGATTCTCTGGGCTGAATACTTTAGATCCGCATTAAGGGGTTTCAATAAATATTAAGCATCAGATTTCATATTACTTACATAAATTTACAAAAGGGTAAAATTTTGAACATTTAATTTAAATAAATAGTAAATAGGCATTATTGCTAACGAAATTTTGTATTTAAATAGTAGTTTTATAAGAATGTTTTCTAAAGGTAGTTTTTAGCCCTTTTTGGTAGATAAATAAGAGGTAAAGAATCATAGTTGCTAGCTAAATTTTATTTTTATAAGGTATTTTTATAAGGTATTTTTATAAGGTATTTTTATAAGGTATTTTTATAAGGTATTTTTATAAGGTATTTTTATAAGGTATTTTTATAAGGTATTTTTATAAGAATATTAGATGAAATACAGGATGACCTACTTAAAATTTCAAGGTTCATCTTATTTGCGGTCAAATTGAAAGTGACATTGAATTTTCAGTCTTAAAACAAAGTAATCTAGTATAAACAAAAAAAAAAAATACTAAAGTTACAGGAGTTAGGTCCGATTCCACCGTTGTGTTAAACGGAGATTAAAATGACAGTGTTAATGTAAAAATGTCATTTTAAACTTCGTTTAACACAACGGTGGAATCAACCCTTAGTCACGTTAATAAAATGTTACATTACAAACCCCTAAACAACTCGAACATAATTTTCGTTTACTAAAAAAAATCCAAAATTTAGCAATATTTATTTATTATACAAGCGAATGCGATTTCAAAGATAACTGGATCAAAAAATCCGAATCTCTAAATTTTGGAACTAAATGCTCAGATAAAAGCAAGCGACCGATAGGGGTTACAAAAATAATCGATTTATCGATAATTCTGTTATTTTTTAATGAAAATCGATTTATCAGCTGTTTTTAATAAATTATTTTCGTTTTTTTTTAAGATAATGTATTAATCGATTTTAAAGGAAATACAGAAAAAGTACATTTATTCAAAATTATCGATTTATCGTTTAATCGGTTTTTTAATTATTTGATTATTTTCGATTTTTCAAAGATATTATATGAAAATAATCGATTGAATATAATCAGTTATTTTACATAATCGATATTTTGGTTATTTTTTTAAAATTATCGATTTATTGGATAATCAGCTTTTTAATAATCAATTATTTTCGATAATCCAATAATCAATTTCAAAGGAAATATGAGAATCGGCTTCTTAATTAATTGGTTATTTTCGATTAGGCGATTATTTTAGATTTATTGATTATTTTTGGTATTTCAAAGATAACCGAATTATCGATTTTAAAGGAAATACAATAAAAATAGATTATTGATAATAATCGATTGATCGAAAATAATCGATTATTTAAAATAATCGATCATTCTGTTTTTTTTTTAAATCGATTTGTCAGTTAATCGACTTTTTAATTAATCGAATATTTTTGAAATACAATAAAATAGATTATTGGTAATCGATTTATCATAGAATCGGCTTCTTAATTAATTGATTATTTTCGATTAGGCGATTATTTTGGAATTATCGATTATTTTCGGTATTTCAAAGATAATCGAATTAACGATTTTAAAGGAAATACAATAAAAATAGATTATTGATAATAATCGATTGATCGAAAATAATCAATTATTTAAAATAATCGATCATTCTGTTTTTTTAAATCGATTTATCAGTTAATCGACTTTTTAATTAATTGATTATTTTTGATTAATCGATTATTTTCGATTTTTCAAAGATTATCGAATAATCTGTTTCCATGGACGAAAAAAAAAATGGTTTATTTGAAAATAATCGATTATTTAAAATAAACGATAATTCTATTTATATTATATTTTGTAAACACTGATTTATCGGTTAATTGGCTTTTTAATTAATCGATTATTTTTGATTTTTCAAAGATAATCAAGTAGTCGATTTTAAAGGAAATGACAAAAAATATATTGTTTGAAAATAATCTATTGATCGAAAATAATCGATTATTTTCAATTATCGATAATTTATTTCGATAATCACTCATCCCTAGCGACCAAATGACTTTTAATAGATTTAAATTTTAAAATGCTGGTTTCAGACATATGCATTTCTAGAGTTTTATGTGACTCATCCTTTATAATAAATAATATTCTTAAAGAAAGAAGCCTTAATATACTTTTTCTGAGGTTACAATACAAAACAGCATTTTCTCATTTTGACTAATTTTTAATAATATGTAGTAGCCGTAGAAAAAATATAATGTTCAACTCATAAGGGTAGATTTGCAGTATTAGCCTGCGCACATGCTATTTTTATAATACTCGTAGACAATGAGTAACATTTTTTGCTCTATTAACAATATATTCTATTTCAACATTTTACTGTCTCTTGCAGAAAAGTCCGTAGTAAATAAACGCTAACGAAATATTCTATAAAAGGTCTTCTCTTTACATAAAATGTCGTGGCATCTGTTTGATATTAAAAAATCACGATAATTTGATTTCATAATACAAAATTCGATTAAACACCTTTTAAATAAACCTAATAGTTCATTAAGTTGCTAATAAACAAAGTCCAGTCCCTGTCACAGAGTTCGGGTCGCCGCGTGTCGCCGCCCAGTTCCCCCACTCCGTTAACCCTTCTTTAGAAATTGGCAACATTTGCGCAGGTTTAAAACCGGTGTATGTTATATCTCTGGTCTCTTTTATCTAAGACATAGATTAAGGATTTTAAAACAAAACTGTTTGATCATAAGCATAACTTACATGTAGGAATTGGGGGACAAGGTGGGTCCGCACAAGCTAGATCATCAAGATGACATTCCAACGTATTTGGACATCTGATCCCATCACACGGATCTCTGCATTTACATAAAGGACAACCATCCTGGGTTAGGGCGAAGCCATGAGGACAGAACATTCTGCAAGTATGGTCAGCGCAAGGTTTTGGAGCTGTAAAAAATTCACATTATTCATTTTTTTTAAGTGTGTGCGTTTGATTTCAGAATAGAAATACAATAATACAGGTCGTCATTCAAATCAAAGCATGTTTAAAGTTTTAGAAACAGATCTACTTTCTCTATATATACTGGAGTATTTGATTTGTATTTTTTTTACATTAAACAATTTGGTTTAATGATTAAACCAAGCCCGTCTCTTGATATGGACGTAAATATGCTTTGACACCGATCTCAATAGATTTATATAGTTACACGTGAATGAATTGCCAAGGTAAACACACTGACATCATCTAATTATTTCAGTAAACATTCACTAGAAAAAAAAATAGTTTTTCGTCTAAAAGTAGTTGATTATTCATAACTATTCTGTTTTAGTTAATTAAAATTGTATACATGAAATAATTAATTATTATAGTATGTATCGTTTATTCTTTCTACAGGGCCGGCACTAGTATTTTTTTCACTATGAGAAAAAAACTAAAATTCCGACCCCTTCTGTCTTTAAAGAAAATAAATAAAAAACGAATTGACAACGGTTTTGTTAATTTTATTTATTGTTTATTTGATTTTTCGGCCTTTCGGTATTTCGGCATTTTTTTGTACTATTTGTACTTTAATTAGGTATTTTTTTAACGATTTTAAATTATTTTGTACTTATTTTGCGTTTTAATAATTGAGGCGAATAATTCAACGGTTTTTCATTAATTCTTGCTTGTATTAACAAAATAATTGTTCTAGGTTTTCGCTAAAATAATATTTTTTTATGCTTAAATATGTTTTATAGTATTTTTAAATTAAAATTACGTATTTTGATTGATATTTGAATTACTTATTCTCTATATTCGGCATTTTGGATTTTTCGCACTAATTATTGTTCTATAATTGAATCGCTTATTGTTAAAAGGAACTAAGTCACATTTAGCTTTATTTAGCTTTATATAGCTTTATTTAGCTTTATTTAGCTTTATTTAGCTTTATTTAGCTTTATTTAGCTTTATTTAGCTTTATTTAGTTTTATTTAGCTTTATGTAGCTTCATTTAGCTTTATTTAGCTTGAAACGAGACAATTTACTTTTGAACATACTGTATCATGCAAAATATGATATCTAGCACGTTTAGGTCTGAGATGACAAATGTCATGAAATTGATTGTATCCATCAATTAAGAATTCGCTTCGATATTTTGTAAAGTATCTTTGAATTGTGACCACGGTAAGTTTCTTTTAGAATATAGAATAAACTTTACTTATATTATTGTTCTTTAGTTGAGGTGGTCTTATTCAAAGAAACTGTAAATATCTCCTACTTTTGCTTCTGCTGTGAGAGGGTCAGAAGGAGAGGAACAGTAGGTCAAAGGCGAACAGTAGGCCAAAGCCAGAACCACTGCACCATAGCCGTAAGTTAAATTGTAAGAAGTTGTCCTAGATTGAGTCACTTGCCTTGTTACCAAGGATTGTCCAAAGCGCAGGATGTGCTCAATGTTCACAGTGGACATAACAGACAATTCTTCATAAATAATTCATAGAAAGATATATAATTGTTTTTTAGTTTATATTTGAGTAGTATCTATTAATTATTCTTTCGTTTAGATATTTTGAGTAGAATCTATTATATTTTTAGTCATAGGACTTTTTTTAGTTTTAGCTAGCTAGTTTACGTGGTTCAGAGAATAACTCCTCTGAAACATTATAATTCATTGTGTAAAGGGATTAATAATTAAAATAAAAATTGTTATTTGAAATCATCTTATTTCCCACGTTTAACTTTATTCCAAAATAACCCGAAGTAAGGGTATTGTTACAAGCTTTATTTAGCTTTATTTAGCTTTATTTAGCTTTATTTAGCTTTATTTAGCTTTATTTAGCTTTATTTAGCTTTATTTAGCTTTATTTAGCTTTATTTAGCTTTATTTAGCTTTATTTAGCTTTATTTAGCTTTATTTAGCTTTATTTAGCTTTATTTAGCTTTATTTAGCTTTATTTAGCTTTATTTAGCTTTATTTAGCTTTATTTAGCTTTATTTAGCTTTATTTAGCTTTATTTAATAATAATAATAATAATAATAATCGACTTTATTGTTTTTAGTATAACAAGAATACATTTTTATAACATTTAATTTATACCATAAAAACAAAAGGCGAAGTTCAATTTATCTGGTGACGGATCACCAGTAAATTGTTCTTCCACTTAACCTGAAATGAAATGCCGCAAATCTAGTGCAAACAATAAAACATAATTCCTTAATAATAATAATAATCTGCCTTTTCTCTAAACAAAATTTAATTACTCATATTTTTTAATGTCTCAACGCAACGATTCATCCTTTACCGTTCAAATAAGAATTTTTTAATAGCCCTTTTAAATAGTTTTACAGTGTAAGTTTTATATAGTACTGGGATATCATTATAAATAGAACATATTTGGTAAGTAAAGCTACGTCTAAAAAGTTCCAACCTGAAAAAAGGAGGGGAAAGAATACCTTTATATCTGACATTTAGATTGTGAACATGAGTCCGATATGTTACTTTTTTGTGCAAGTATGAAGGTGTCTTATTAACAATAATTTTATGAAAAACAATTGATGCATGCATAATCCTCCGGTCCGCCATATTTAACCAGCCATTCTCTTTCAATTTATGACTGATGTGCTCTCTTCTCCGAATATTGTATATAAAACGTAAACAAGAGTTTTGGACTTTTTGAATCTTTTTTTTATATAAGCTGCTTAAAAATGGGCCATAGAGTACATCTGCATAATTAAAAATAGATAAGATCAGTGTATCACACAGTGTCGATTTGATGTGTGACGGTAAAAAATGTCTACTTCCGTATAATACTTTAAGAGTAAAATATGCACGTTTTACTAGTTGATTGACATGTGCTTCAAACTTCAAGTCACAATCTAATGTCACTCCCAAACTTTTAGCTTCATCAACAATCTGTAGCGGCATATTTTCAATTAGAATATTAATATTTGGACTAATCTCGTTTCTTTTCGCCTTATTTCCAAAAACAATAACATTGGACTTATCACTATTGATATTCAGGCAGTGATCAGATGCAGCTTTAACAAAACAGTTTAGATCGTTGTTTATAACATTACATGCTTCTGCTATCATTTCGGAATTAAAGCTATAGTATAACTGAGTGTCATCGGCATAAAGGTGAATGTTACAATGTTGAAGGCTTTTTACAAGATTGGATGTATATAACGCAAACAGCAACGGTCCAAGAATGGAACCCTGGGGTACTCCACACTTTAATTTTTTAAAATGAGAAAATTGTTTATCGATTTTAACTAATTGTTGACGATTAGTAAGGTAGGAATTTAGAAAACTTACAGCATTTTCAGAAAGACCTACATATTGCAAAATTGCAGACATTAAACTATAATTAAGAGTATCAAATGCTCTACTAAAATCCAGCAAAACTAATATACTAGATTTTCCTTTATCCGTAGCTCTTACAATATCATCAACAATATGGAGAAGAGCCGTTGTACAACTATGGTTTTTACGAAATCCTGATTGGGTGCCTGGCAACAATGAGTGTGATTCTATATGTTGTTTTAGCTGTACTTCTACAGCTCTCTCTAATATTTTTGACAAGGTTGGTAATATACTAACTGGCCGTAGATCTTTGTATCCAAGAGGATTTGGTTTCTTAGGTAATATCTTTACAATAGCTCTTTTCCATACATCAGGAAAAACATTATTATTTAAACAATAATTAATAATATGCGTTATGTAAGGAATTACATGAGGGCAACAAATTTTTAAAAGGCGTAAGCTTAACTGGTCTTCCCCCACAGCATTCGTTTTTATGCTATTAATCGTTTCGTAAACAAATATGTCATTAACTTCATGAAATTTGAATTTAGAGTCTACTAGCTTTTTATTTCTATAAGATAATATCAGATGTTCAGGAGGTTCCCTAACTGGACAAGAATTAATGAAAAAATCATTTATTTCCTCAGGATTTTTCAAATTATTAGGAATTAAATTTGATTTATTTTGTATAACATTATAGGTCTTCAAAGTATTCCATAATGTTTTCGAATTATTTTTGTTTAACTCATACGTAAAAAAAGCTTTCTTTTCACGTTTAATCGCAGAATTAGTATAGTTTCTTATGTCCTTATAAAACTGAAAGTGAACTTCCGATTTTGTTCGTGTATATCTTTTGAAAGCTTTATCTCTTATTGTCATCATTTCCCTAATAGCCCCTGTTAACCACGGTGCTCTAGGTTTGGTTACTCGCGAAGTTACTAAAGGTACATGTCTATCTATCATATTTATTAATAAGTTAACAAAAAGAGATATTTTTTCATCAGCGGTTTCTTGATCAAAGATTCTAAAAAACGGTGTGTTATGTAAATCCCTCTGAAAATCAGCATCGTTAAAGGTTTTAAATGATCGATATGTAATGTAATATTTAGCTTTATTTAGCTTTATTTAGCTTTATTTAGCTTTATTTAGCTTTATTTAGCTTTATTTAGCTTTATTTCATCGATCCTGTTATCAAACAAAATGCGTATTTTTGTCATCCGGAGAACCTTCTTCTAGCAATGCTTTCTGATGATCGTCCTGCTATAAAGGTGGGTCCACATTGCTCCTGTTCGTGCTCACGCTCGTGCTCGTGATCGCGCTTATGCTGTTTCCGGAACGTTGCTTTTTGTGTTTCTTCTGTTTGTCAAGATCGTTTTATCCGCGAACAAAAGTGTCCACATTGTAGTTTTGTGTTTGCGCTCTTGCGGTTCCGACATGGATGATCAATTATTATTAACGGCGGCTTCCAGTGCGTTAATTATTATTATCAAATGGAGAGAACAGGGAAAAAAAGTGACGAAAAGACGATGTTTGATGTTAAATATTTTTAAAAGTAGATCCAAATACAGTTGAAGTAATCTTCTCCATGATTTGGAAACAGATGGGATTTTTGTCGCATGAGTAGTACCAATTTTGAAACACTAATTAATTTAGTTGGCCCACATA